GAGAGATGCCCTTCAGCGGGAAGTGGCAGAACTGGCAGGCAAGTTGTGGGATGCTATGAGGGAGAAAATAAAGTTGTTGAAGACTAAGAAAGTGGTCCTCATAGAGATACTAGCGGGATGGGAAGGGGCAGCAGGGGCATGCAGGCTGTGAGAAGCCATGGGAGAGGTGAAGGAAGGGGTGTTGCTTTCAGCTCTGGAAATGGTAGAAGGGATGCCAGAGGAGGAGGTGCCGAGAGCAGGGCCACCACCTCCGGAGGCACCTCTCTTAAGGATGGAACAACAGCGGGTTACACTGGGAGAGATGCAGCCTCCTCCCCTATACCCAGGATGAGCTGGTGGACATGAGCGTCCGGTATAGGCAGAAGCCACTGGAATCTGCCTACATGGCTTTGACATCTCTGGGATATGGGGGTGGAAAACAGTGTTATGTCGGGTCCTGAAATGAGTAGACTGGCTTCCCTGATAACTCACCCTCCCCTCCAGCAGCGGTTGCAAAATGCGGTCACACCTCAGGGAATCACACTTCTGAAGTGGCTGAAAGCTGCCCTCAGGGCAGTTTGGCCTAATCAGGGTGATTTACCATATTTACCCACTAGCTGGAAAACGTATGCAGAGTTCCAACAGGTACTGCGGGAATTGGGCATGAAAAATATCATCTATATATAATATGGACCCCCAAGGCCCTAATAAGGGGGTGTTCACTGTAGGAATGAGAAATCTGGTGCTGCAGACAGCTCCCACATCTCTCTTTGAGCCCCTAGTGACTACTCTTACCCACCACATAGGGCAACCCTTAAGTGAGGCTCCTTGTACTTTAACAGATCTGGGGGAGGTCGAAACAATAAGAGTGTGGAAGGAAGAATGGGCTTCGACTGAAACGAGAGGTGCAAAAGGCCCCGTGAAGGTCTAGAGGACCCAGATGTGGGTTGATTTGATAAAGGCCGGGTAGCGAAAGAAAAACCTGATGGACAGCCTGATAGAATCTTGTTAGAACTGTGGCCCCAATTAAAGCCGGAGCAGCAGTTCCAGCCGCTGAGGTCCAGGACATGGAAACCAGAGTCAAAGCCCCATGTCCAGCCTGTGTCCCTGCAAAACTTCCTGGGGGACAGTACTCAGGATTCGCCTGGGCTCTCACCCCCATAGGAGGACAATTGGGCATTGTGGTTTGACTGGGGGCGGTCAAGGTCCCCACTCTGGGGGACATGGTGGGGACCAGAGGCCATGTTGAATCAGTATTCATTGGTCCCCTGTGAATGTACATGTCCTGGCACTGGTGGACACAGGAGATGAGTGTTCTCTGATTTATGGCAAACCTGAGCATTTTCCTGGGACCCCTGCTGTGACAGATGGCTATGGGAGGAAGGCAATTAAGAGTGAAGAAAACCCAAATCCCATTGAGGATAGGGCGTTTACCTCCAAAGGAGTGTACTGTGTACATTTCTCCCATTCTTGCCTGTATTTTGGGGGTAGATATCCTGCAGGGCCTGTGGTTACCACTGCAGGTGAGTTCAGACTGAGGGTACATGTGGCAAAGGCAGTTCTGAGGGGACATGCTAAGCACCCATCTGTAGCTCTGCCTGTACCTCAGTGGGTGACAAAAACTAAGCAGTATAAGTTGCCTGCGGGCACAAGGAAATTGGAGAAACTCTACAGGAGTTGGAGAAGGTGGGCATCATAAAGCCCACTCACAGTCCTTTTAATTCCCCAGTGTGGCCAGTGAAAAAGCCAGATGGCTCCTGGCATATGACTGTGGACTACAGGGAATTGAATCAAGTCACATCCCCTTTGCATGCTGCTGTCCCCTCTATAGCAGACATTCTGGACACACTCAGTCATGAACTAGGGACATACCATTATGTTATAGACTTTGCTAATGCTTTCTTCTCTAATGACATAGCACGGGAAAGTCAGAAACAGTTTGCCTTCACATGGAAAGGCCAGCAGTGGACATTCACTGTCCTTCCACAAGGATACCTCCACAGTCCCACCATTTGTCACGGACTTGTAGGCCAGAACTTGGCCACATGGAAGAAACCACAAATGGTGGGGCTGTATCACTACATTGATGATATTAGGCTCACATCTGATTCTCTTGCAGATCTAGAAGGGGCAGTTCCTAGACTACCGCAACATCTACGGGAGAAAGGATGGGCTGTGAACAGCACCAAGGTTCAGGGACCTGGTTTGTCTGTGAAATTCTTGGGGGTTGTCTGGTCAGGTAAAACTAAAGTTATTCCTGAAGCAGCCATAGACAAGATCCAGGTTTTCCCTACCACTGTGGCAGTCTTACAAGAGTTTTGGGGTCTTCTGGGCTACTGAAGAGTGTTTATCCCACACTTGGCACAAATTCTGAAGCCCTTATACTGGTTGGTACAAAAGGGCATCAGGTGGGACTGGGATAAGACATGTGCAGCTGCTTTTACTGCTGCTAAGCCAGCAGTCAAGGCTGTACAGGCCTTGAGTGTAATGGACTCACCAAGGCCCTGTGAGCTAGATGATCGTGTAACCGAGGATGGTTATGGTTGGGGTCTTTGGCAGCAGCTTGAATGGACCTGCCAACCCATTGGATTCTGGTCACAACTATGGAAAGGAGTAGAGGTCCAGTACACCTTGATAGAGAAGCAACTGGCTGCTGTGTACCACTCCTTGCTGACTACGGAGCCCATCACCGGAACAGCTTCGAACAAGGTAATAACCACCTATCCCATTGCGGGGTGGGTGCGAGACTGGAGTCCAAAGGCCATGGAGTGGCGTAACACAGATGCCTACACTGGCCAAGTGGGGCTCATATTTAGAGCAGTGTAGCGCCCTCTCTACTAGCCCCTTAAGTGGAGAACTCCAACGCTTATGGGGGCCTGTGACGTATACCAGTGGAAAGCAGAAAGAACTTGCTTTTCAGCCATTGATAACCAACAGCCCTTATCAGGAGGGAAAAGCCCCTATACCTGAAGATGCTTGGTATACAGACAGCTCCAGTCATGGGTAGCCCCCAAAGTTGAGGGCTGTGGCTTTCCATCCTAAGACTGAGACAATATGGATGGAGGATGAAGAGGGGAAGAGCAGTCAGTGGGCTGAGTTGTGGGCAGTATGGCTTGTGATCACCCAGGAGCCCTGCGCCATAGTTGTCTGCACTGACAGCTGGGCCATCTATCAGGGCCTGACTCTGTGGCTACCAACATGGTATCATGCCAACTGGATGGTTGGTCACCGGCCCCTTTGGGAGCAAGAGTTGTGGCAAAACCTATGGGCCTCTGGTCAGACTAAGAATGTTCTATGTATCATGTGATTTGCCTTTGGCATCCGCAGGGAATGATGAAACCGACACAATGGCCCAGGTGTGCTGGCTAGAAGGAAAGCCTGCCTCTGATGTAGCCCAATGGTTACATCAGTGTTTGTTGTACTCAGGGCAAAAGACAATGTGGGCTGTAGCCTGTTGGTGGGGCTTTGCCGATACCCCTTGTCAGGTGGCAGATAGACTACATTGGGCTTCTGCCCATATCAGAAGGATATCAGTGTGCCATGACCTGTGTGGACATGGCTACTGGACTGTTGGTTGCTTTTCCTGCACGTTGTGCAGATCAGCAAACCATCAACAGGGGCCTAGAGCATGTCTTTGCAGCCTATGGACGGCCTCAGGTGATTGAGAGCTATCAAGGCACCCACTTTACTGGACGTGCGTTACAAGAATGGGTGCAGCAGGTATGTGGGGGGGACTTGATAATAGAGTCTGGTAATCATAATGTTGTTCAAGTACTTGTACATTAACGATACCAAAAAAAAAAAAAAAGAATGGGTGCAGCAATTAGGAATGAAGTGGAAGTTTCATGCACCATATAACCCTACCGGGGCAGGCATGGAAGGGAAGTACAATGGTTTGTTGAAATATGGCCTGAAGTCGGACACATATAGTCTATGGGGCTGGTCAGTTCGCTTATGGACAGTGCTACAGTGTTTGAATGAGAAGCCCCGAAAAGGAGCCGTGAGCCCCGTGGATATGCTAACACACATTGCTGCCTCTCCTATGCGGCTGTATGTACAAACCAGAGGAGTTACTGAAGCCAGGATATGGCCAGAAGAGGAACATCCTGCTGCCAGCCCCTACTGGAAGCTGGCCTCCTGTGTATTCCTGGTGTAACAGCAGAGTGGCCCCCAAAGATCACAGTAGTGTACCCAAAACGTCCAGGACGTAAGAGCATCTTAGGGGGAAGCTTTGTTTTATCTTTATGGCCAGTGCATGTACCTCCGTTAGCTCTATATAGTGACCTATCTGTAACTCCCCCAAGGGGACCCCTGAGGACCCTCTGGCCTTTCCCTCCTCGTTCTCTCCTGTGTGTCCGCCACTCCCCCGGCTCTTTCCCAGCCAGAGCCCTCTGCATTTCAATTCTCCCCAGAACACTCACCAGTCCACTTCCTTGCCACTGAAACTCCCCTGATCCTAGAGCTCAAGCTAAGGGCCACCTGCTCAGAGGGGTTGTACCTGAGCCCAGGTCTGAATGGCACACACCTCTCATATTCCCTCAGCACAAACCACAACTTATATTTTTGTTTGCAAGTTGATTTAACACTGTCTCCCCTGCTAGAAGACCATGTCTACAGGGGCAGGGACTATCTTGTTGAGTACTGAACTCCTAGGACCCAGCCAGTGTCTGGCACTTTATAGGGTCTGGAAAAATACTATGCCAGCTCAGGGTGGTTAACTTTAAATACAGCATCCTACAAACTTGTAAGAACATGGGAATGGTGTGGAAGGAATGATGCCAAGCTCCTAATCTTGGTTGCCTCTGAGAGTTGGGGAAGAGCCCAGGATGGGAAAGGTGATACATATGCCTGTGTGCATGTCTGCACACACGTAAAGTTGGAGGGCATTGGCTTCAACTGTAATGATTTTACTTTTTACTGAATAAGAATGAATAAACCATGTCCCAGGTCAGGGGAGACAAGGGGGGGATAGGCAACCCCAAGCCACACTCATAACAAAAAAACACTGTGACACCCTGCAATCCGCTGGTGGGTTTTGAGTCTTTATTACTATGTCACCAGAAGTCACCACCTTCACTTGGTTCACACAAATGGATGATGTCATAAAGGAGGGTGCCATAGGGCCACTGGATTCACTCAAGACCTAACCAGGTGGTGGGGGAGTCCAGAGTGGGGGCCCGGGGTGGGTACCACCATTCACTGCATGTGCGTGCGTGCACACACACACACACACATGTACACACACACACACACACACACAGATATATTTGTGGAGCCTTATATTATACATCTTATATATAGAAAATATATATTTATACTATACACAGGCAGTTATGCTGCGGGAGGGGCTGGGGCACCCAGACAAGGGCCGTGGGCACCAGGAGACAGGGAGTGTCCCATCAAGGGCAGCACTGGGACATGACTGGACTAGTCCATCCTCCCACAAACTCTTGGGAGGGGTGATACCCCTTCATGCTCCTTAGAGAATCAAAAGCATCCTGGGCCAAGGATGGGGGTCCCCAAGGGGTAACAAGTGGGCTTTTGGTTACATGGGGGAAGCCTGGGACCCCCAAGAGTCTTTGAAGATCCAGAATTATTCCTAGGGAAGGTTGGAGTGGGGAGCAGATGCCAGCCCCCTGGGAATCAGTCCAATGTTACACTCCCAGATACCGGAAGCCACACGCAGCTGAACAGCCTGTGACTGCTCAGTATGAATGTTAACTCAGGCAGGAAACCTGGATCCTTACTCTCCAGCTCTGTGCCTGACTTTCGACAAGTCCCTGCCCTCCTCACCCAGGCTCTACCACCTCTTCTTGCAGCTGTAGGGGACTGAGTTTCCTGGGCCCTCTGTTGTGCTTGCTGGAAGGGGCCGAAACTTCAAGGTCTGGCTGCGGGGGGCCCTTTTCCAAGGAAAGGCTTGGAAGCAAGGGAGAGGCAGAGGTGGGCAGCAGGGAGAGAGAAGGGGATCCGGTTGGCCTGTGGGCACAGATTCTAAGCTTGGGGCTGCCAGGGGGACAGTCTCAGCCAACAAGAGGAGCAGGGCTTCCCCACCAACCTCCAAGCAGGGGAGTCAGGCCTCGATCTCACCCAAATCCTGCCCTCTGACATGTTTCTCACCTCCACCATGGGAGGCCAGTGCCCAGACTCATGGTGCGATCTGGTACCCCAGGAGAAGTGAGGAATGCTGAGACAATTCTGTGCCCCCCCACTCCTGGCAGGGGTCTTATAAACTTTCCCAGTCTGGGGTGGCAGGGAGAGTCTGTAATAAACACCCAGGGATTGGGTGAAGCTTAAATGGTACTCTGCCCTCCAGTCCAGCATTGCCAGCAGCCAGTCGGTACCCAAGGAGAACAGAGGGGCAGCACCCTAGGGTCTTCTAGTGCCCGCGAGCAGTGGAGGTTATGGTGGGGACTAGGCGAGGGGAGGACTTCTCAGAGCCTCCTGCATGGGCATGGAACTTCACTCTGCCAGGAACACCCACACCACCCTCACCTGCCACGCAAACCTCTGATCTGGTGTAGGTTCCACCTGTACTCAGCCTGGCAGATACAACCCCATCCTGTCGCCACCTGGGCAACCCGGCAGGAGCGAACCATGGACAGAGCCCCTCCCCAGATGTGGACAATTGAGGTCAGCAACAAGCGGCTGCCGCTTGGCTATCTGGGGTCCTCTCCTATCACTGCAGCCCCTCAGGAGGGTTTCAACAAAACAGTTAAGATCCATGCTCCTCCGCTGACTCACTCACGCTGAGTCTGTTCCGCTTTCTGTTAAGTGGGGACAGTGGTGCTACTTTTCTGCCTAGGAAACTTTCCCCTTGCCTCATTGCCATGCCCCTGCCGTCCTGAGAACCCCTCCTCTGCGAGCCTCATCTTGCCGGGCACTCACACGGCGTTCTGCCTTCCAGTGGACCCTGGGTCCAGCTGTCTGCTGCTTGTCCCTGACGGACTGTCAGCCACCATGCCCTCTGAACCCTTGGCACAGAATTACTGCTGAATGAATGGGCAGGTGAGTATTACCTGCCTCTTAGGGTTCTTGTGAGGGCACAGGGTGCTGAAGGTGGGAACACCCAACACCATACTGACCCATAATCCCCTTGCACTGCTCCCTGAGGCACTGGCCAGTGGACGCCGGGCCCAGGTCTCCCCACGCTTCTCCACCCTTCAAGGCCTCCCCATCCCTTAGAGCTCAGTGAAAAGCCCACTTTTTGCAAGAGTCCCTCCTGTTCCCCCACAATCCCCTTGTGCCTTGGGGGAGCTCTGCTGTCCTCTCCCCTATAGCCCGTGCTCCCAACCTGCCACGCACCAGGGGCTCTCACTGTTCATCTGAGGGTGGTTTGTCCCACAGCGGCAGCTCGCAGGCTGGCCTTGCTGGGGCCAGAGCCCTGTTCTTTCTACTCTGCCTCCCACAGGGAAACTGGCCCTTTGGCGGGCCATCTGGAAGGCCAGGGAAAGGGCCCTCTGGGCCCTTGGCTGTCCCAGCCCCAGCCCCTGGCTGAGGGAAAGATGACAGTGTCCCAGATCAGTTCTGCATCCTGAGAGGTCACAGGGCAGGGAACTGGGGCACCTGCTGGACGGCTGGGGCCAGGCAGCAAGCCCAGCTCTGCCACTCACTCACTGTGACTTGGGGCTGGCCGCTCCTTGTTCTGGGCCCCCTTGTGCATCCAGCCCTGGGCAGGGATGGTGGTCAGTCCTTTGGGAGGCCACAGAAGAGGCGCTGGAGCTCCCTGCAGGGCACACACAGTGCAGAGCAGTACACAGTTAACGGAGGAGTGAGGCCACCCTCAGCTGTGGGATGTGGGGAAGGGTGCCTAGAGGCAGGGCTGTGCTGCTGGGGAGACAGCCAGGGCAGAATAGGCCCCTGGCTTGCAGCAGAATCAGGGTGTCTCATAAGCTGAGGTCCCCAACGCCTCCCACAGTGACAGCAGCACTGAGTGGTGGCTCCCAGGCTTGTGGATGAAGGACGGAGAGGATAGGGAACAGCAGGTGCTACGCAGTCAGGTGGCCGGGGCTTGGCCCCACCTCCATCAATGGCTGCCTGCGGGACCCTAGGCAACTGACCTTGACCCCTGCAGGCTTCCCTTTCAACCATAAAATGGAAATGGTTCCAACATGCCTAGCAGGGCTGTTGTGTCACTCCTAGCAGGTGACAGCCCAGCGTTCTGCAGGTGTTCACACCCTGAAGCCAAAACCTCCAGGCATCCTCCAGGTTTCTTTCCCACCATTCCCACCTCATGGACAACAGGGCCTCCTCTGTATCTCTTTCCCTTTTCCAGAGACCATTTCTCTTTCACCACCTGTGCCATGCACAGGCCTGACACATGGTAGATGCTCAGTGACTGCTCGATGACATGATGAATGAATGCAAACACCCCAGGTCTCTGCTAGACACACTTGTACATACATGTAGACATACTTCCCAACACCTTACTGTCCGTCACCCTGAGCTGCCCTGGACCTCAGGGGAAAAACCCAGAGGCTGATGAGGTGCTGGGCAGGGCAGCCTGGCAAGGAGCAGGGGGCTGGGTGTGCAGGGATGGGGCAGGGGCCGCCGGGACAGGGGCAGGTGGGGCTGGAAGGGGCAGCAGGCAGTCACGGAGGCTCAGTAGCCCTGTGACTGGTAGCCCTGGGGCTCGGGGTCAAAGGCGTTGGCTGGCTGCTGGTAGGTGCCGCCCATGCCGGCAGGGTCTGGCCCAGCGCTGGGCTCCACGTAGGGGGCGTAAGGCATGCTGGAGTCCTGGCTGGGGTCCATGTAGTCCTGGGAGAAGAGGGCCGAGTCGGCGCCAATCTGGTACCGCTGGAAGGCCAGCACAGCCTGGCCCGCCTGGGGCCAGGGCCGGCGAGGACAAGGACAAGAGGGAGGGGATGGTTAGAAGAGAGACAGACAAGAGCACTGGGTTAGTTCACAGGACACAGGCAATAGATGGTTAAATATCTGCAAAGTACCAAAGAAGAAACTGTGCTTGGCGGAGGGGAGGAAGTCTGTCCTTGCAGCCAGCCCCTGAGAGGCCCAGAACGACATCGAAAGGCCCAGCAGCACATCACGCAGCCAGAAAGAACTTCAGAAGTTACTTGCCCCATGTCCCCAACCCCAGAGACCACTCTGGGCCACCAAAAATTCTAGAGCCTCCCCTGTGGAGTGTTAAAATGGCACAAATGCCCACAACATCCTCTCAAACTGTTCTCAGGGGTGTTATATGGAAAGGGGAGAAAAGTTTCTTAGTGGGACAGGGAACTAATAAAACCTCCTAAAAGCCATTCTCTTTCCCTTACTGCTAGGTGTAGCCATATGACTAATTCTGCCAATAGGTCACCCCAAATTCTCTGTCCCACCCTTTGACCTGAAGCTAGGAATGCAGATGTGACAGCTGGAACTCCAGTTACCATAAAAGACTATGAGGACCAAGAGCCAAACTGTAGGGATGGAAGAGGCCTGGGTCACTAGACCTGTGAAGCCACTGTGCTGGTCCTGGACAGTCTTCCCAGGCTTGGACTTCGTTTAAACCACTGTTGTTTATGATTTCTGTCATTTGCTGCTGACCCCAATTCTAACTGACACACTTGGTCAAACAAGTTTGGGAAACTGAGTTAAACAGAAGGAAGCAAGTCTCAGGATAACGGGACTTGTCAGAGCCCTGACTAGTTAATGTATGCTGGATCTCCAAGAGGAAACTTCAGCAAGGGACGTTCACCGGCCTTCTCTGATCACTGAGGCCCTTTTTCCACAGGACCTAGATGGGAATGACTTGTCTACAACACACATGCATAGGTGGGAAATGATTTTTTTGGTAAAAACAATTACATTGTTATTATGGACAATGACATTTATCACAGCAAGCTAGGGAATGAAGTAAAGGAACAGTTGATAGGTTTATGATGAAAACCTTCTCCAGAGATCTCTCCAGCCCAGGTAACGTGCCCATGATGGAAAGATGCTAATGCTCTATATACCCCCGTCTGGCCTAGGAAGACGAGGCCTAGAGAAGGGAGGCCTCATAGCAGAGCTGGTACCAGAATCCAGACCTGAGTAGAGGGTTCCTGCCCCTTCCCAGGTCAGGGCCCTCCCCACCTCTTTCCATTTGATCAGCCCCCTGACACAGCATTAAATCAACCAAGAACCCAAAAGGGTCATCTGGTGAGAGGCAGGGGGTGAAGTGTGCTTGCCATTTTATTCCAGAAAGTTCCAGAGACCCAGTAAATAGGCACTAACTTTTGATCTGTGTCACTGGAGAAAGCTATGAGGGGCAACCTTTCCTGGGCTGTGGCTGTTAAAAGCAAAGTGTCAGGGGGCCTGGGAAAGGCAGGCCAGGCCTAAAGGGGTTGAGCCAAGGAAATTAGGTGTGGCCTCCCATATATTCCACTCCTGGTATGAGGTCCGGGCTGCTGAGGACTCGGATGCAGGATCCTGGAGAAGCAGGGAAGTGAAAAGTCCCCTGAGGTAGAGGCCAGGTCTTTAGCTCCCTTGGGCCACAGGCAGGCCCACAAGAGCACACGGGGAATGAAGGAATGAAACCACGTAGGACAGAACCATGGGCAGACCTGGTGCTCCGCGGCTCCCGGGCTCCCCCGCGCAGGTTGCCCTCCCTCATGGAGGGAGGGAGCTGGAGAGGCCTCTGGTCACAGGCCTCTAGTGCTCTCTCTGTGGCCACCCCTCTGCCCCACGGAGTCAAGGGCCATCCTGTTGGAGGGGCCAAAAGGCAGGAGCTAAAGAGGGGCTTGGGACCCTGCTGGACTGGGGTGCAGGGGGGAGGCTGGGAGCTCTGCTCAGAGCCCAGGACCTGGGAGTCCACCTGGCCCTGCTCAGAGCAGGTGCTCTCTCTGCAGCGTTTGCACCATGCAGCAAGCAGTCCACACTTGTACGCCTCTAGCGTTAGGAAGCTCACTCTGTGTGCTTTGCTCGGGGGCCTGTTTGTGCTCCATTAGCTCCTCAATAACTGCCGAGGGTAGAGGGGTAGGTGGGCTCCTGCCCAGGCAGCTGAGGGTCCCAAGGAGGGAACCTGTGAGATTAGAGGCCAAAGTCCTTTGGAAGAACAGAACTGACGACATGAGAATCACCGCCAAAGGAGAGATTATAGGTGTGAGAGAATGCATGAATGAATGAAAGAACAAAAGAGCCTACATTTATTGAGCATCTCTGTGCCAAGCCCAGGCCAGACTTTGTTTCATCCATGTAACAGCCCTGAGAGGCTGGTCCATTCTCACTCCTCAGTCCAGGGAAGTGGACCAAGGTTCAGAGAGGTGCAGGGGTTTGCCTGAGGTCACACAGCACATGAGAGCAGAGGTGGGCCAGGAGTCCTCTGATGTCCTCAGCCAGGCCCCCTTGGAAGCCCAGCCTTCATGCTGCATCTGTGGGACAGGCTCTTAAGCTGTAGTCACAGCTTAGCACTTGGGCAGCCCACATACGGAGCCACCTCCGACCCTCCAACAGCCCAGAATGTCTGTTTGTGGGAAATTTCAGTTTGTCTTCCCCTCCCCAGCCTGTGGGCTCCTGGGGCCAGAGACCCCATCTAATTTATCACTAGGCACAGAACAGTGGCTCAATAAATGTTTACTGCATGAATTGTCACATGGAGAAGAAAAAAAGGGGGCAATGAATGAATAAGTGGCAAGTTAACTGGCCTCTCAAGCCAGCCTTGCTCTGCCCTGCATGCCCAGCATCCTGGCCATTCTAGACAGTAAGCTGCCCACACCGCCTCATCACTGGGCATGATACAGGGCTCCCTGCCTCTGGAAGCCAGGCGGGCAGGCCTAGGGCTATGCTGAGGCAGGAAACAGTGTGTTGTACTCCTCCTGGAAGGTAAGGTCCTTGAATCTCCGCACGGCCAGGGCTGCGGTCAGGCTCTGCCAGGAGAGAGCAGGGGTGAGGCCAGCAGGGTAGAGCTGGAAAGGCAGAGTGCGGGCAGTGGGGCTGGCTTCAGTGGGCCAGTGGACACCTGCCAGTGGACACCTGCCAGTCAGCCTCCAGACCTGCCCTTGATGTCCTGTGAGCCCCCCCCTCTGTGCAGGACTCCCTGCTCCCTAACCCCACCCCACAGGGCAGGGTAGTGCCCACTCCCCAGGCACCTTCTCTGGGCTGAGATCCTCTGGGGTCACCTGGTTCTTTCTGCCCAGCATTGGGGACACAAAGAGTTGGAGTAACCACAGCTGGCCTACTGAGGCATGAGCCACAGGTCTCCTCCTCCAAACTCTAGCTCTCACTATTGTACTGGGGGAGGTGGTGGTCCCAGGAGAAAATGTATATCCAGGGGCCCTCAAAAAGATAAAGAAGTCACCCGAGGACAGACCCAGGAGGGCAGGGCAACAGGAAAGGCTGGCTGCACAGATCTCGCAGGAGGGGCTAGAGCCTGCTACCTATACACAGCCCCTGGTCTCCTGCTTGCAGAGAGCTGGGCTGAGGCCTGTTGGAAGGCCCATGGGGAGCTGCAGGTGGGGAGGGGAGAACCCTAGGGATGGGCACATGGAGCTGTTGTGACCCCACATGTCTGTAGGAGGGAGATGAGAAAAACAAATAGAGATAACCTGGAATGAAAGGGAAAGGGGGCCAGCCTTGTCATGCCAGTGGGCACTCGAGACCATGGGGCCTAGAGCCCCAAAGGGGTGCCTTCTGGCCAGGCAGGCCCACAGTCATGCTTCCTTTGACCCACATGATATTTTTTTTAACCTGAATAAATTGCAAACACCTAAAGATCCAGTTTCACAAGAAATTCAGCTTTCTGGCTTTTCTGGAAAACAAGAAGACCTGGTCTCCATGGGGCCCCATTCCTGCTTGGGAACAGGGGCCACGCAGAGGAAGGCCTGAGGAAGGGCGCGCACACGCCACCCGGCCCACTCACACTTCTCACATTCTGCCTGCCCCATGGGCATATGAGTGTGTGACACCCGCCCCAGGTCCAAGCTCCCAATCTTATTGATGGGAAGACAGAGACCCAGGTCTCCTCTAAGGCCCAGGCTTCTTCCCAGCCTTGGAACCTTGAAGACTTACCTTCCCATCTAGGCCTCAGCTTTCTTGTTTGCAAAAGAGTAACTCCCCGTTAGCAGAATATCTCCCCACCACGCAGCTACCAGAGTGGTTGGGAGGGGCATCATGGCCAGAGGGAAGGTGCTCTGCACCACAGTGCGGCTTCGCCATCACCACTTGACTGTCCTAGCGGGGACGGCCAGTCTTTTTCCTGAGGGCGCAGCCCCGCTGTGAGCGGTGAGGGGGATGCAGGGGCGTGTGTGGGCTCCAGGAAGCAGAATGGAGTCCCTGGCTATGCTGGAAGGCCACCAGCCGGGAGGCTGGCAGGGGTGGGCAAGTGTGGGCTGGGGGGCAGTGTACTCACCCATGTGAAGATGGAGAAGAAGGAGAAGGTGATGGCGGCCCGGGCCGCATCTGTCCCTTCATTCATTGGATTGTCCTTAGGCTTGGAGACCTGCCATTGGTTGGCCAGGTAGCAGAAGCCCACGAACCAGAGGAAGGCCCAGAAGGCTGGGGTTTCCACCAGGGCCGGCAGAGCCACAGGTGGGGAGAGGGCAAGGGGAGGAAGCAGGGAGGTTCAAGAGTGCATCTCCCATGCTCCCCCACCCTCAGGGGGAGAGGCAAGGGGTGCAGACAGGAGGCAGGGAAGGTCGGGTGAGAACAGGCAGGTAGGTTTGGTGAGAGGGGCGGGAAGGAGGAGAGACAGAGAGAGTGTCAGTCAGCCTGGGCCCTCATTTCTCTGACCTCAGCCAAGCACAGACTTCCCAGCTGGACCCCTGGTCCACCGCGGACCACCCGAAGGCCTGCAGCTCCCCTGAGGAGCACCTCCCCGACCTCCCCACAGCCTCCCGGTGAGCTGGGCAGGGGAGGAGGAAGAGGCTGGGCAATGGGGGCAGCCCCACCCGGGCAGGTCTGATCCTCGGCCTCTAACGTGCTTGCGGCCTCACTGAGCCCCAGAGGTTAGTGGGGGCCCAGGGTCTACCCAGAGAGGAGCAGAGCTGCTCGGAACTGCGTGTGCGCCGAGGCGGTGGGCTATCCAGAGCCAAGCCCCTCCGAGAGACTCTGCCGGGGCTCTGCAGAACACAGTGTAAGAGGCACGGATTCCATCCTAGTTACCTCAAGTCTAAGGGACCCCAGGACTCACTGCCTGCAGTCCGTGCATCCTGGCAGTGCCAGGCCGGAAATGGGGGCAAGTCCCATCCAGAGACCGAAGACCACAGCCTCCCTGACCCTCGGCCAAAGCGTTCACCAACTGCCCCTAGAACTCACGGGGCAGAAGTCAGGTCACCTCTGCCAAAGGCCATTTCTGAAGGGCAAGGGCAACGGGTCGGGTCAGCTCCCCACTCCCAGGTCTTGACCCTTCTGAGGTCTGGCTGGCAAGAGGAAGAGGAAGACTGGCATTCCTGGGGCACTGGCTGTGCGCCTGGTCACCACCTTGTTTGATTCTCATGAGGCCCTACCAGGGAGGGGGCACAGAAAGGCCCCTGGAAGCAGAGATGAGCCCTCTGGATGCTGTGACCCCCCCCATCCCCACTGTGGAGCTGGGGGCCATCCTGGGGTCACAGCCCCAGGCCCGGCCCACCACTCTCTGCTGCTAGCCATGTGACCCCAAGTCCATCCCTTCACCCGCCTGCACTTCAGTTTCCTCATCTGGAAAACGGGAGAAGGGTGGCAGCTGCCTTGCAGGCACGCGTGCAGGTCAGCGGGTCCACGGCGGGGCCAGCCCTCTGCAGACTCCTGTGCTGGGGAGAGCCCCCAGGGTGCAGGGCTCACCCGAGACGCCGATGTCGGACAGGACGGCTTTCTTGCGGTCCTTCACACTGCTGATCTGCGGGAAGTACGCGTCCAGGGCCAGGTAGAGCAGGCAGGTGAGGAAGGCGAGCACGCCCACGGCCACACCGTAGCTGCAGGCATTGGGGTTGCGGTTGTAGATGCAGAACTGCTCACCCTCGGAGCTGCTGTTGAGGTAGCCCTCGTTCACAATGGAGCCGAACACCACGATGGAGAACACCTGCGGAGCACAGGGGGCCAGGCGCTAGGCGTGAGGCCCAGGCAGGCCCCTACGCAGAACCAGCCCGAGGGAAAGGATGCTACCAGTATCCCTCGGCTGCTGCCTTCCCCTCTGTGGGCCATCTTTGACTCCAAAAGCCATGAGGCTGGTGTTAAGCAGGCATTTCGGAGGAGCCCAGAGAGGGAGGGCAATTTGCTTAGGGTCACACAGCACGGAGATGACACTCCTTTCCCCAGCTGCCAGCACTGAGGACCCTCTGCTCACAGATTTGGTCCTACACCACCATCAGCCAGGTCCTGAGAGGTCTTCCTGCCAAGTAGCCACCCCCAGGGGCACATACCCAGCTGCATCTTGTGCTCCTCTCCTCTCTGCAGAGCCACAGGCTCTCCTGGGGTCTCAGGCCCTGTCGTTGGTCGCACTCTTTCCTGTTGCCAGGCCCTGCGACACCAGTCACAATTCTGCCAATGGCAGGGCACCTGCACAACCCCAAGTGTGTTACAGGTGGTACCTCATTTACCCCACGACCCTCCACACAGGTTTGTTTCAGCTGGGTAGGCGGCAAGCCAAGAAGACTCCACCTCCTGGTATTCACACCCTTATGAGATCTCCTTCCCTTTGATTGTGGACTGGGCCTAGTGATTTGCTTGTGACAAACAGAATATGGCAAGAAGTGATGGATGTCCCTTCTTCAAGGTGGTTACAAAGACTGGCTTTCATCTGGCCTGTCCTCTTTTGCCCCCCATTGCTTGCTCGCTCTGATGGAAGCAGCTGCTGTGTTTTGAGCTGCCCTGTGGAGAGAGGCCCATGTGGGAAGGAACTGAAGGCGGCCTCCAGTCAAAAGCCAGCAGGGAACTGAACCCCTCAGCCCGCAAGGAACAGAGTCCTGCTAGCACCATGCAAGTGAGCTTGAAAATGGATCCACCCTCCGCCTTCAGATGAGACTGCAGTCCTGGCTGACCCCACAACTGTGGCCTGTGGGATACCTTGAGGCAGTGGTACCCAGCTGAGCAGATTCCTGACCTCAGGAACTGTGAGGCGACAAATGTGTGTTGTTTTAAGTCACTATACTTGGGGCAATTTGTTACACAGCAGTAGCTAACTAATACAAGCAGTATCATTGTTTTGCAGATGAGGCAGTTATGGTGCAGGTATTGGTTAATATGCTGAGGTTCACCCCACTGGTAAGTGGCTGGCAGACCTGGCTTCAAACTCAGGAATCTGACTCTAAAATTCATGCTTTTCTTTTCCTGCAGGAGGAAATGAGTACAGGGTGTTTTGGTGGGGTGATGAAAACATTCTGAACGAGAAACAGGATAACTGCACAACACTGCAAATGCCCTAAATGCCACTGAACCACTCACTTTAAAATGGTTTATTATATGTTCTGTGAATTTTTCTGCAATAAAAAAAAGAGAAAGGATTGCGGGGCTATGTTCTGGTTCAGCCTTGGGCACAGAAGCGGGCCATGGTGGACCATGAGCCACACATTTGCTAATCCGGATTTGGGACTGTATGCGTGCCCACAGTCCTTCAGGCCCAGGCAGGTACCCTGGCTGACAGCTCTGCCTCGTCACAGGTTCCCCATGGCCCCATGAAGCAGAGAGGGCAGTTCATGCTGCCCCCCCAGTTAACAGTCAGAAAACCTGGATTCAGAAAGAGAAGGTGACACTGTTGTCAGCAGTCCGGGCTGACCCTGAACCCACATTCCCTGATTCTCAGCCCTGTGCCCTTTTCCACCTGACCGAGTTGACGCAGCCCTAGGAGGTGGGCCCTGAAGAAGGTGTGGTATTTCCAGAGACCCAGGGGTCAGCAGAGAGGCACCAGAGTGGCAGGATCAGCAGCGTGACTGGAGAGCCAAGTCTGACGCTGAGGGGCACAGGAGGGGACAGACAGGAAGTCCTGACTTCAGAGCAGTTTTCAGAGGGACTCCTGGGCTACTGACACAGCCCAGACACGCAAGGCAGACCCCACACACCAGGAGACAAAGACCGGCTCTGACAGCCGCTGCTTGGGCTGTGCACTGCACAACTCCAGGGACCACCGCTCAACAACTCCTTGGGCCTGCGCACCAAGACAAGTCCAAGGCTCCTACTAGACAACTGCCAGGTGGGGAATCTGAGGCCCAGGCCCAGGGACCATCAGAAGCCAGCCATCCGGAGACTGGAGAGCCTCTGGATCAGAGGGAGACTTCAGACACCGAGGGCAGGACTTCACACAGACCTGCTGGATTCAAATCCCAGGCTGCTGGTCGTGCCGTGTGGCCTCAGGCAAATGAGCCTACCTCTCTGAGCCTCAGATGGGTGCTCTGTAAAAATGAACCTTCCCTCAAGGGGCGATGGGAGAATGACATGCAATTACCCAGAGCAGAAGAGTGATAATAGGGGCTTAGTGAGGGTTTACTCCCTTCTCCAAAGGGCCCAGGAAAGAAGGCAGACCACCTGCTGACAGACTCCCTGGGGGCTGGGCTGGAAGGGACACGCTGCTGCTGGAGGTGGGAACAAGGGAAGAACCCCCTTCCAAAAGCAGGCTGGGAGGAGCTGAGGGGGAAGCAGGCAGGTGGAAGTCTGGGCCCTGGGGACAGTAGAGGAGGAACCATTAGGATGGGGGTCTCTCAGGGGAGAGAAGCTGGGAGACCTCGGAGAAGCCAGGAGGAAAGTGCTGGAGATGATGTGTTCCCCAAGAGGGTAAGAAGCAAGATCAAAACACCCTCCTGGGGACCCCACGGGGCCCTGAGCGCAGCGGAAGGAGAGGCCTCGGTGCCAGCTCCCTGCTCCCAGCCCTCCGGCTCCCCACTCCAGGCCCTCCTCTCCATCCCACGGCTCCAGCAGCCACGGGCCTTGGGCAGGCACTCATCACAGGTCACGGCTTCTCGGTGGTGCCTGGCATTGTGCTGGGTAGATGGGGAGGCGTGTCAGGGGGGTACCACACCCATGGAGACCCTGCTGTGGGGCAGGAGTGAGGGGGCAAAAGGCTGGGTCTGGTTACCTAGGCTTGCTGAATCCTACCTTAGCCACTTGTCTAGCTGGGTGACCTCAGGTAAGGGGACTTAACCTCTCTGAGTCTCACTTCCCACATATGTAAACTGGGACAACAATGGCATCTAAACCATGGACATGTTGTGAGGAGTGGATGAGAAACAGCGTATGATAAGGAATAAGCACCCCAGGATGATAGACTGACACCATAGGAGTAGATAACTAAGGCAATGACGTGGCGGCAGATGCTGGAGGGAGGCAGGGGTGGCCAGGGAAGGGAGCCCTGCAGCGGTGATTTCTGAGCTGAGCCGAGAAGGAGCCAGCCTTGCGGAGATCAGGGGAGAAGCGTGTTTCAGGCAGAAGAGCAGAAAGGGCAGAGGCTGAGTGGGAGGAGGGGGTGGCTGAGCAGTGACCAGGGAGCAGGGCCAGAGGGGCCTGGGGAAATGGGAGGCAGATGTAGAGGGAGGGGAGACGAGGCCTCTTGGGTCACAGCCGGGGGGATGCTGAAGTCAGTGTGTGTGTGTGAGAGAGAGAGACAGCTGGCTCTGCGATCACAGTCCCCACCCTGCAGCATGAAGGTCACTTAGGCGGTTCCCTGCCACCTTCTGGCACAATCCATGCTTCTCGGGCTGGCGGTCAAGCCCTCCATGCACCTGACCTGCCCATCTCCCCTGGAGCCTCATCTCCTTCTGTTTGCCACCAATGGCCTATTTCACATCTTCTCATGCCCCAGCCCTTTTCTCTGTTTCCTCTCAGGTCCTGAGCTCTGACTGTTCTTGTTCGGTGGAGGTGGAGCAAGCTGCCAGGGCATGTGCCAAGAAACTGGCCGCTCTGCACCCACAGGGCCCCCTGCATTCAGGGCTGGGCTTGGGAGGCCTCATCTCAGAGGCCAGAGAATTGGGGCTTGCCATCAGTTGTTCATTCATTAAGCAGTATTTCCGGAGCACCTCATATGTGCCAGGCCCTGTGCAAGAGGCTGAGGAGGTGGCAAGATCCCTGTTCTCACAAGGGAGACAGAATAAGCCAACAAATGTGTAGGTAAGGCTTGACAGGTGTCCTAAAGAAGCACAAGGTGGGGTAAGAGGAGACAGACTGGGTGACTGTGGAGGCTTCTGATGAAGTGACCTCTGAGCAGAAACCTGACTGCAGTGAGGCAGAGCCATGCGGACTCTGTCCAGGGAGAAGTAACCACAAGTGCAAAGGCCCTGGGGCACAAATAAACTTGGTGTTAAGGAGGCGCACAGGGGCCAGTGTAGCTGGAGCCCAGCGAGCAAGTTGAGGCCACAAGGTAGGCAGGGGTCAGTGTCCCCAGGGCCTTGAGGAGCAGGGTGAGTTCAGTTCAGGCTTCAAAGTGGGAAAGTGATTTGATCTGACTTAGGTTTGAAAAGAATTGCCCTGGTTGCGATGGAGAAAGACCGTAGGGGCAAAGGTGAAAGCAGGGAGACCAGCTCAGAGCTAAGCAGTGCCCAGGTCAGGGGTGAGGGGACTGGGCTGGCGTGGGCAGTGGTGGTGGTGAGAGTGATGGGGTGCTGAATATATTCGGAAGGTAAAGCCACCAGAACCAGCTGACAGTCTGCTGCGGGGAGTGAGGAGGAGCAAAGGGCAGGTTGGGGAGGATTAGGCTTGACAATCATCAGGATATAAGTGTGCATGCCATGTCTCCTGCAGGCCACAGGGCTGGGCCAGGACACAGAGCCTCACCTGGACCAGGCCTGGTAGTCTCCAGATGGAGAGACTGAGGCTCAGTGAAGGGAAGAAATGCTGCCAAGGACACACATCCAGCCCCTTGGGGCCTCCCAAATTCCATCCAGGACCCTCTAAGCCTTGGGTTGACTCCTCTATTTAGATGCAGTCTCCCCACCCTGAGTGGAGAGAGACCCCAAGAGCAGGGCACGGGCCTCCAGTTCCTGTTCCTTGGCTGCTCCGTCTGCAGGAGGACGGGCGTCCCCTTAGCACCTACTATGTGACTGAAGTGCATGCTCTTAACTCCACGTTGCCCATGTCCTTATTCTCATCCTACAGCTG